GTGTCCACCTAAGGCAAGCTTATTACTAGCTCCAACTGAATACAATGCTCGAACATGGTGGCAGCAGCTTCCATGAGGTTCATAAATACAGCCAAGTTCAAGCGCATTATAATGACTAAAGAAACTTCATCTGAGAAATATTCAGTAGGGAATGATGATCGATCTTATAAATTAAAATTATTTTCATACTGTTTGGTGCATGAGATAGACATTGAGCTCTCGAACTTATTGATGTTAACATGGTTAGCTGTGCATTCATATATTGAGCTCTCAGCCCAAACCCCATTTGTGCATCATTCAATCAACTTTGAGGCAGCAAAAAATGAACACGTATATTACATTTCCTGCCTATATCTTTTCAATGAATCACTCATTTGATGTTGAGGGGAAAATGGTGATCTTCGAGAAACAAGCTCTCAGCCCAAACCTGTCAGTGTATCACTTGCTCGACTAAATTGAAAATGGAAGTCTCATGTACCAAAATTTATGGCCACAAATTTGTGCACTGCTCAATCAATGTTCGGAAGTGAAAGTGATGAATCCAAATACAAGGCTAGCTAAGCCAAATACTTTAAGGGTGACATGTATATACAAGTACAAAAAAATTGGAATTTGAAGAACTTTATTCTTTATTCTTTATTATTTATTCTTTATTCTTTGATATTCATGTTGTACCATTTTTTTGGCAAACCATACTGAATAGGATGTCAAGAGGTGTAGTGGTGAGAGAGGATTGGAAAGGCGATATCCTTAAGTCATCTCTTCAAATGAGGTATATGTCATTCTTTATGTTCATCCATAGAAGTGAGAATGGTCATGAATTATGATAATGTTCCCTTTCAAGAACTATAATCAAATAATAAACTTACTTAGCTTAAAATAAAAGATAATATCTTGATTGTGTCGATCGAGAAGATAACCATTTTTTGGCATTGTTATCATTTGTCAAATGGCATCATCATTCAACTTTCGGAGAGCTAAAAAACCTCCCTATTGGGTTCCTCACAAAAAAATATCGTTCTTTGTTACGGCCAACTAAGGTCTTCCTCAAGAGTAATGAAATCTTGTGAAGATGGCAACCTCCCTTTATGGCAGAGATAGCATGTTGGCTTGTCTTGATTGTTGTTGGGATACTAACTCTTTTGGAAGGGCCTTCATCTAAATCCACCATTTTGTGGCAGAAGATAAATGATTGAATGTGAGAATTTCTTTAGATGTTGGAAGATCCATCACTCCTCAATTGGGGACAAACAAGAAAGGATCTGTAGTGCTTGGTATTAAACCCTCTTCTTGACCGATGAGCACAAAGACGGGTTAAAAAAATCCAATTGGATCCTAGGGTCAAGAGGGAGAGTCTAGTAATTCTTGAAAAAAAAAAAGAATAAGTTAATCACAGAAAACCATTCTTCTATAAAGAAGCCAACCATACTAGAAGGAGAAAATAATATAAGATACTTGGTGAAGAATTCTCACAAAATCCTGATAGTCAAAAAGATTACCAAATGTTGCCAAACCCTACTGGATATAAAGGACCTCACATTTATTTCGTTTGTTAGAGGAGGGGAGAGTTAAGTGTCATTGTTGTATGCTTATCTTCTATATTTACTTGTATTATATCAATGGAGAGTAATGACATTATAAGTCCCATCACTCGGTGCCTTAACGTATGAATGAAATTCTGGATTTGTAAAAGCAATTTTAGAGGATTCATTGAGAAAATAATTAAGCCTGGCTAAGGATTTACCTAGCATTTGTAGCACACTAGCAAAGAATATCAAAAAATTATACGCCAAGGATGTTGACGTTGTCATCTTCATTATGAGCTTGAAGGAGTTCACTCTAAGTTTCTAGAGGCACAACATAAATTTAAAAATATTTGGCATTGTCGAATGAATAATAAAATGACCTTCAACACAAGGTACAGATGACTTGCTGCAACTCAAAGCTAAATAGTACACATAATAGTTTTGGGGTTACAACTCAAGTTATGTGTAGTGGAGTGGCAAGAGAGATTGTTCTTACACTATTCATGCAATAGAGAACTATTTGCAATCTTTAGATAATGCTCAAGAATTCAATCATCAAGAAGAGTGGATTTGTGAGATTGTTCAGAGAAAGGAGCTAGATAAAGTAGTAATCCATTAGTTAGAAGCTTTCAATATGGGATTTTATATAGGTATTTGACTTGCATGACAAAAAGCAGGGATCAGCGTTGATGATTACTGTTATGCTAAAGTTAAAACTTCAAGCAAAATGAAATGCGAAAAGAGAACAAACACATCAAAAATCTCAAATACAAAACACAAGTTTACATGATTCGATGAAACCTACATTCACAGTCGCACAAAGATCAAATACTCCACTAAGCTTGAAAAGAGATACATGGTGAGAATATACTTTAAATAATTAAAAATAGATATATCATTTTAAATGAGTTACTTTTTGAAAGGGAACACAATCATATGTTGTAAATACAAAAGTTGGAAGAATAACAATTGATATTGATTCCCCTTCTCTCTTCTCTTCTTCACTGTGAGAGCTTCTCTCTCTCCTCTTCTCTCTTCCTCTTCTCTTTTGCTCTTTATTTTCTTCTAGTTATGGGATGCTTGCAACCATTAATTTCTTCCCATTTTACAGTGTAATATGAAGTGGCAAATATGAAGGACTAAGAATGACTGAGGCTTAGGCTAGGTAGCCACCATCTTAGAAAATCAAATGAAAATGAATTTTTAAGTTAGGTAGCTAGCATCTTGGAAGTTAAACTTGAATAAATCTTCAATTTATAGCCACCAATTTTGAAAACTCAAGACCAAATCTTATCCAAAATAGTCAAGAGAAATTAGACTCCATATTTAGCATATTATAATATCAATAAAGGGTTGAAACACTTCGATTAGAAGGTGGCTGTTAGACCGGTACTAGGTGGAACAAGGGTTCCCCGCCCAGTAGGGGGCGGGAGGCTTTGGTGTGGGGCACAACAGTCAATTAGACATTAATTAAGGATGGGTTTGGGAGGAAAAATTCAAAAGTATGAGGCTATTTAGGGATTAGAAGATTGTGATTTTTCTCCCTAGGGTTAAGGTTATGTGGATTCTTGCTGAAATTAAGAGTTCTCTAGTTTTGCTTGAGCCTAGCTGCTAGCTAGAGATTGGGAGAGCATGATCCTCCACATGAATTGAAGATCCATTGTATCTTGCTTATTTTTTTATCATTTTTCATCAATTATCAAATTTCCCTAGGGTTTTGCCACGGGATTTATTTGATTTATGCTATGTTCTTGCTGAAATTCCAAATTCCAGCCATTATCTTTTGATTTCTGCACTTGGTTTCCTATTAGTAGCATAACGGAGGAAGATAAAGAGAGAAACATTGTTTCAATTGATAGTGCAAAAGACACCCTGAAAGCTAGTTAATTTATATAGTGATCATTATAATGCATTTTCAGTAGTTTACTATTCTAATCCAAGCAATCAGATCCATTTATGCTTTATCATACACCTATAAATGAATCAAGTATTCTGTATCAGGTTTCTTCTAGAGATGAATTACCATTCTAAAGCAAAATTTAATGGGATGCTTGTGTTCACATAGTTGTTTAGTATGCCCTAAGTACAGGAGAAAGCTCATTGACCCATGGCCCGTCAGCCTTATCCAAGCAGGTCTTCGGTTGAAGTTTATGTTCACTTATACAATAGGGATGAGAGAAACTCTTTAGCTTTCCAAATTTGCTCTTTCCACGAGTAATCAAAAATATGCTAGAATGATGGTAGAATTTTCTTAATGTTGGCTCTTCCACGATGGCAAATATGAGAATATCACAGCACTAGAAAACGTTTAAGTTTTCAATTTTATCCAATCCACAAATAAATAAATAAAATTATAAATCTGCAAATTAGTTATTCTTCTGATCTAAACTCATCACCACTTTAGATAAAGAACAAGTTAACCTAAAATCAATTTATTTCCTATTTCATCCCCACTCTGGCTAAAAGAGTAATTAAATTTTAAAATTAACAAAACTAGTTATTTGGTAGTTAAAAGGACAAGTAATAATCAAAGAGATGTATATAAGCGATTAAACTCTAGCAATGGTCAGTTGGTTAATCAACGTGCATGATTCAATTCCCTCTCATTTTTCAAAAAATAGTTAATTGACTAAATAAATCTAACTTTATTTAATTTATTTTTAAAAGAATTTAAATTTTGACCATGTGCATTGCGTTGTGGGAGCATGCTAGTCTCCTAATAAGATTGTATTCAAAGCATGGCAAATCAAGATAGATCATCACTGCAGGAAACAAATTCTACATTCTAGGAGCCCATCCAGTATCCACAATTCCAGAGAAATAACAGTACGAACTATTAAAGATTCCCAACTCTACTTCCAACAAGGAAGAACAAGAAGATGATGACAGCCACATGGTAGATGATAATAGCAGATGATTGCATCACGTATAGACTAAACTTTAGTCCTGTTCTTACCATGGTTTTCTTTTACAAGGAATATGTAAAATTATTGATAGTGAAGAACACAAAAGTTTGCATCTCCTCCTTAAACATTTCTTTTCATGATTTCTTTTATAAAGAAAATCTAACAATGCCTTTTACAATGGAATGTCATAACAATACCATGTTTTTGCACTTCCCCATACATCGCTCTACTTTTCATGGTTTTTCATTGAAAAATAACTATGTCATTCACAGCTAGATATCATAGCACTTCATAGGATCCTTTTAAAGCTAGATATCATAGCCTCAACTATGTCATATCTTACTTTTGCACCATATGTCACATGATATATCCATATCATCTAAATCCTTGATTTGTGCAAAAAAAAATTAAAGAAAAAAATTGAGGCTATCATTTCAAAAAAAAAATAATATTAATATCACCGACTCAGTCCAAATTTGAGTGAAAATTGAGCAAAAAATAAATCAATAAATATCCATAATTTAACAGGATTCCATCAATGAAGTTTGCATGTAGAACTAGATCTTACCTGAAACTCCGCTTTCGAAAGTCGACCACCCAAACGAACATACGTTAGAAGGGCTTCTGAGCGTCGGGCAACAAAGTCATCATAATTTAATCCATCTGGTGGAGATAGTTGAGCATGAGTTAGCACAACCAAACTCCTTCGCCATATTGTTTTGCCAAAAGTATCTGTAATGGCTTTCACAACCTGTTTGTCCAAGGTATCCATTCTATATGCATCTAGTCGGTCCACATAAAGAAGTACATCAATGGTCTTGTTCAGAAGAAACCTAAATACAATCAAATTGATGATATTGTTAATGAAAAATGAAAATAATAATAATAATAATAATTTTTTGGAGCAGGAGCTTCTAAATGTAAATCTCGGAACTTTATTCAATTCAATTAAAAAAAAGGCAGTTCAGATATGCCCCTGAAGGACCTACTCCTAGACAAGCAAAAATATCTTATACTTCCTAAAACTGAATTGTTTTTTATAACATCGATTGTTAGGCGGAATAGATTATAAATTACATTTACATTTATTGAAAAGTGGGGAAAAATTTTTAAAAGTTGCAAGATATTGAAACATTAGCAAGACATTAAATCATAAACACCAAAAGATGATGAACTCTAATTCGATTAGAAATCATTAAAAGTAGACACATTTTTCTCTTCGACAGGCCAAGTTATCTGCGAGGAAAAATTATAGCCATTATATTTTCATATCTATTTTATCAATTGATCAAATTAAGTAATGATAACACCCATCAAAGTAGATAACACTGTGTGATAGTTTAAGAACTCCAAGATGAGTGTCTACCAAAGACATTACTTTCCTCAAGGGTTCCAAAAGGCTTGCACATACATGAGATGCCATCATGCCATCACATTTCCATGACTTCAATGTTTTTTTTTTTTTTTTTTTTTTTTTTTTTTTTTTTTTTTTTTTTTTTTGGGGGGGGGGGAGAATTTACATACATACCACTTTAAACCATCATATTTACATATCTAACACCCAAAACTTTAATATTACATACATACCACCTTATATTTCTTTAATATCAAATGTATCACTCATATTTCCTTCCTACCACTCATATATTTCATTTCTACCATTTATATTTGATATGAAAATGAACTATGGGTGGTATGTTTGTAATATTAAAATTTTATGTGTTAAATATATAAATATAGTATAGTATGGTATGTATGTAAATCTCCCTTTTTTTTATTTTACAAAAGAAAGCTTCCAAGAAATATTTTGAGATGTCAAAAAAACAAATAATTCATAAGGCCCTATCAAGAATCGTAGAACTAGCCTCTTTAATGCTAGAGTGAGGCTACATTCATCAACTCCCTCATATGCATTAAGTAAACCCCTTTTCCCCTTCTTTACAGGCCCACCAACATCAAGGAAGCGTCATTTAGATCACGTATAGATTACAACATCCATGTGAAGTTAAAACAAGCAGTTTAGTATGCAGTTATCCTTCCTCAGAACTAACCTCTTTATGATTCCAATGGCCTGTTCATTCACATATCCTCCTTCAACAATACCTGGAGTGTCAATAATGTTCAAAGTGAATCCTGCCTGTGTTCTTGAACACATAATCGGCCTCAGCCCTTCTGACTAGAAAAAACGCCACAATTTGTAAAATGAGATTAACACCATCAAAACAATCAAGAGAATCAATCTAATTCCTTTCAAAACTAGAAGATCAGACAAACCTGGAAGGCACTGACTGAAGCAACCCGCTCCCCTAAAATGGAATTAACGGTGGACGACTTCCCCATACCTCCTTTTCCCATCACTAGAATCGTCAACGTGCTCACATTCTAAGAGACCCAAAACAGAAAGAGTGTGTGTGAGAGAGAGAGAGACCATATAAAAATACCTAGCCCATATCAAAATTACATCTTTTGAACAAAAAAACAGACCTCTTGCTTCAACTTCCCGAGCAATTCAATCAATCTCGTCTGCGTAGCAGGCGGGAACTGCCGGATTCCAAGCCACTCACGAGCCATTACGAAAGCCATTGTAACTCACTACCAAGGACAGCAATACACAATAAATTATCACGCGCCAAAAAATATCGAATAACTGTCTCGATAAACAGGATTGAAACTTAAACCCCAAAACCACAACGAAGAAAATTGCCACCGGAGGTAGAGTAATTCAAGACCAATCCCTCCCTTTTCTCCATTGGCGCATTAAGCAATATAAAAGGAAAGCGCAAGTTTTTATCCATACCTTAGTATCTCTGAAAGAGAGCGAGATGTCGATGGGCAGGCAACCTGAGAGAGACCTCGCGTTTGGATAATAGGGCGAGAGGGAGGATAGGCTGCGAGAAGCCCAAAACCCAAATGAGAGCCGCTGAGCTCGGCAAGAACGTCACCGCTACTGCGAGCCTTCTTCGTTTATACTTTATAGTGGGATAAGGTATGGAGAGGTAATAATTGGAATAATCAATTGAATAAAAAAACAAGAGTAAACCTTATTGAGATAAATTTCATATTTTTTATATTAAAATGAATATTATATATTGTATTTCACATTATATTAATTTTCTATCAAAATATCTTGATATAATTTTTTTCTAACTAATTTATAGGACTTGATTTAAATTTTAAATGGTTTAGAAAAAAATTAGAAGTTCAATAAAAAAAAGGGAAATATTATCTTATAATTAAATTAGAATTAGATTAAATTTTATTTTAAAATTAGTTTTATAGCTAGATATTGCCTTGCAAAGTAATTGTTCATGCATTTATGGTAAAATATTTACCAAACGATTTTGTTTTAAGAAATAATTTTACATGTTGATAAATGAAGAATGGAAATATGCATGTTGGTTAGAATTGAATTAGAGAGAGGATTGTTAAAAGTGGTACAAATTGGGAAATGTGATAGCTCAACAACAAAGGGAGCATATAGCCTTGGGTTGGTGAAGGAAGCAAAGGCCCTATTGCGGGTACAAAGCGGGTACACAATCTTGTACTACAACGAAGAGGCGGATGGATAGGGTTTGCAAGGGGTGGAAGACCTAGTAAAAGGTAGTTAAGGTCTTGCTACCTTCATCTCCCTCTATTACCCACCTTCCAAACTTTCTACAATATTCTCTTTAAAAAAAAAAACCAACTTGTACCTTCTTCCTCTTGCAAATGAAAAATATTCTAATTGAAAAATATTGTAATTTAAAAAAATATATCCTAATTGGCCTTTAAATGGGAAGGAAATAATGATAAATATTTCACTACATAAAATATTGCAATTTCCAACTGACTTTCCAGCAAAATACTTGTCACTGTAAACATCGGCGGATTTTCCATCGAATTTCCATGTAAGACTTTCCAATGGAATTTCTAGTGGAACTTTATGCCGAAAATTTCGCTCGTTTAAGTATGTTTGGCACACCAAAAAATTTGTCAATAAATGCCATATTTCAACTGTTTCATCACTTCTTCTTGCATTTCGTACGAAACGGTCATTCACTCTATTCTCACGTGAAACATACCTCCACAGCGTGCCCCTCCGTCCCCAACATTCTCATTCGTCGTTTGCATATCGATTCCTCTGACTCCGTTAAGATCATTGTCATTTGTCATTCCTTCATCCATTCGCATTGTGATTCCTTCGCTCAATCTTCTCAACTCATCGATTAGACACATTCGGTAAGTCTTCGCCAATACATCTTGAGTTTATATGGATTTGCCTTAACTCCTCCACTGCTCTTAAGTTTTTAAAGTGTATTCAACAATTATGAGAGTATGAAGAATGTTTTACAAGAGGGAGCTTTGAGATAATAAGGATTAGAAGGAATTTTCCTAATGTGTTAAACTTTAGTCTTAATAAACAAATCCTTAAGAACATACACCCATGTTAACTTAGGTCTATCCATTTTCAATCCTAATCGCATGACATTTATTTTTATCTACTCATCTAATAGTTGTATTTTACATCATTCATCAAATATGCACAAACAACAAAAGTTTATTTTCATCTATCATAACTTAAATAGATGTAACTCCAACTATTCCACTAATATAATCACTCAATTTATCCCTCATTTCTCCACACTCCATCTTAACATTCTTATTTTTTCCACACTCAACAAAAAACAACTTTTTGCTATCTTACAAACATATCTCTACAATTTTACAATACCCTACGCACACACTACAAGAAAATAGTCTAATACCGACGGAATTTTTGGAGGTTACAAAATCGCCAAACTGCTAGAAAATTTGATGGTATGTGATAAGTTTGACACCATTACCGGTGGAATGATCGCCAGTTTTAAGTGAATTTGTTACTTCTGTCCTAGAGAATGCTGATACTCTATCTCGTCGCTACAGCTCCAACCGACGCCAGCCTTGATCCTCATCCCCCCCGTCGCAGGTGATCTCCTCTCCTTCCTTGTTCTTCTTCCTTTCCTTCCACAAGAGATCATCCTTAAAGTAATTAGAAATATATAATTTTTAATTTATAAGATTTTGCATGTTATAGAGACGAAAAAAGGAGAAGCATAAGTGTTTATGTGATATTGTAATATGCTAGAATAGTACACATTATATGGTTTAGGTGCACACTAATAAGAATACATTTATTAGAGTATCAAAGCTTAGATTAATTTTTTTATATAATGTGCATATTTATATGTTAAGTAATTTAAGATGAACCTTAATAGGCTTGTCAAGTGTTAACTAGTGATGTGATTAGACTACGAATTTGAACTATTCTAAGTTAGGTCATCTTTGAACTAAGTCAATGTGGAATGAGCATGAATTTGAGTTGCTCTTAGTTTAGCATCTATAATACCAAATTGATTCAGTTGATCTCAATACATATTTGTTCTTCATGAATTATGAATATAAGCTTTGATAATAACTTGTATAAGATGCCTATTTCAAAGAGATTAGATACCAAGATTTAGTTAGCCAAAATGAATTTGGTGGTGGTTGGAGTGGATAAGGAGATGATGGGGCAGCCGAAGGAGTTGGGCAGCAATTAAGGAATATCTTGAGATATTTTAACTGGGTGACAATTGGCTGGTTGCTTCTATTGTCAAAATAATTTATTTTAACTGTAATTAGATATTAAAAATGTTTTTATTCCATCAAATTTAAAATTTTAATAGCTATTTATGAATTTCATCATTGTTAAATTTTAGTACTTTGATGTAGATTACATTTGAGTCTCAACACAAGCGATAAATTTTTAAATATAAATTTCTTATTTTAAATCCACGTGACTTTCCAAGAAGATAGATATTTGATATGTAATAGATTGCTATTGGGACGAAAAGGAATGATAGATGAATTTATTGGTGGAGAGTTTACCATACGTGATCAGAAGCTGTTAGAGTAAGATATAAGTGAAAGGTTTATGGCTTAGGTTCGTAAGGGTATGCTATTGAGAGCAGTACATCCACCTCAGCATTTTATGATACTAGTTGAGTTGAAGAAAATGTTAGCCAGCCAGTTGTTGCTATGATAAGAGAGATACAGAAGATGAGATAGAATCACACTGAGATGCAGGTGAAGCTGCGGTCATATTGAGCTGAAAATTAGAAGAAAAAAGAGTAGGAGCCTGTGCATGAATCATATGGCATCGAGGATACAAAAGATGATTAGATAATGTTAAAGTTGTTGGAGTTTGAAAAACATTTTTTTTATTTGAGAACATTAATGTGAACTCTAACTTTTGTTGAATTTTATATTTTGAAGGTTCTTTATATTGCTATTTTTTGTTTTATTATGTTCAAAAGTTTGTTTAATTTGTTTATTTATGTTTTCAACTATTTTAGTATGTGTTGATTGTAAATATTACATTAGTGCAACTTATTTTGTGCATTTTATTCAACTGTTGTAGGTACAAAATGTAAAAATGTGTGTGGACAGAGGGGTGCCTATCAAATTTTTTAAATTCCTATAGGTTTCCGGCGGCTTACAAACCACCTAGCCATCAAAAACGTCGATATCGGATGGTATCAAAGCCTCCAAATTAATGAGTAAATTATTGAAAATTATGAATAATTTTTTGGCGATCAAAATGCCAGAAATTATCGACATTTATTGCTACAAGAAATACCGCTAAGAGTTTCCAGTGGTTCACTAGCAATTTTCGGTGGATAAATCATGGGTAATACCGTCGGTAAATTCCAGTAGCAATTTTGCATAAATCGCCGCTCAAGCCGCAGGTAGAAACACAACGTTAATTCATCGTAAAGTCGCCGGTAAGCCACCGAAAAATATTTTCGATGGAAAGAAAAGCTGTCAAAATGTGTTTCCTATGAGGTTTATACCGGGGAAAAAATTTTGTAAGAAGACCGCCACAAAATGTTAATTTTCTCCATAAAGTAGCCCATTTTGGTCAAAAAAATCTGTCAGTAATGGATGATTTTCATGTAGTGACAATACTCTGATCTACCCTTAATATCACCCACCATCATCTCAATTCTCAAGGAATCTAGTTCACCTACCCATATACATCATATGTTCAGCCATTCTACTGCCCACCACCCTTTGATGTGGGGCCTTCCACATTTATGGAGCACAACTTGAGACTGTATCAGCACCAATGTGTTCATAGAGCTTGAGGGCGACACATACGTAATATTTGCTTTAAATTATTTAGATATTTTGTGAAGTAATTTGTTCAACCTAATGTTTTGTACAACTTTTATCAGTTAAAGCAACAAATACACAAAATACATAACATCATATAAAGCAAGTTTGATGCTCCATATCTTTTATGGAAGAAAATCCCCCATGAAGTTCAAGATATGTAATTTCACGAGTTTGAGGTTAGTTATTAATAGTAATAGTAATAAATTGCATTTTAATTAGACTAATAATAATTATCCTATGGTTTACTCTTGATATATGGATAGATTTCTACTGATTATTTTAACATAATGTAAAGATTAAAAAAAAATTTAGAAGCGGCGATCGACTTGCCTGCAAGACATATTTACATGCATCAGAAAGTGAGGCAAGAGACCATTGTGGATCGGTGAGAGTGTGGGCTAACTTTACCAAAGCTTGGGGTAGCCTAGATTATACTATAAGGAGGGATCAAAATAGGCAGAACAAAGCTTCGAACATTGGGTGCATGGGTAGCGCCCTCTATACAGCGGGCTCAGTTCTATATACTGAGCACAAGCCACGATTAGTAAAAAAATTAATATATAATTAATATCATCTTAGATTTAAATATTTTGTTCACTTATGAATACTAATCTAAGTATGCAAAAAGAGATATTGGGTAGAGAACCCATGACTGTTGAGTTACACACTCGCACCAATCAGGATAAAAAGGACCAATAGTGGGTGGACGTGTAAGTGAAGTGGGACTTTATGAGTCACTAAATTTAGAATATCAATAGACATATTTTTTAAGTGACACATA